CAAAAGGCAGAGGGGGGGATCGTGCCCGTGTCCCAGACTGCTCCGGGGATCTGAGGGCCTTCCCGAGAACACCTCGGTGCCGGCGTGAAGGCCCAGAGATCCCTGGGAACCACGGGAGAGCAGGCGCAGCGTCCCTGCTGGGGGGCCCATTTGGCTGCCTGAAAGCAGCTCGCCAAAGAAGCCTCTCACACTCAGCTGGGCACTTTGACAAGCCAGCCATTCCTTGCTGACAACCCCCTGCAATCATCCCAGCCCACCACCTGTCCTGGCCATCAGCTCCCACAGTGCACACACAGGGGGCTCCACTGCAGCTGAAGGGAGGGAGCAGCATTCCAGGAGGCTTCACTTTCTTCCCTGCATTCCTGTTCCACACTCAGCACATTCCCCAGCACTTATAACCATACACACCTACCCTGTAAGGTACCTGAGGAGCTTCTCCAAGGGCCTTCCATGCTCTTCTCTCTCTGGAGTCTCCAAAGTCCCAAGGGCCTACCTTAGGAACCTCAAGACAACTCACCTGCTGACAGAGGAACTTGGTGCTGCTTGGTTGCTGCCTCAGTTCCCTTCTTCCTTGTTTCTTCACCTCCCTGGGTTAGTCCCTGTCAATCCCCTGGCTCGGCTCTCTGCAGTTTTGATGCCACAGCCCCCTGCAAAAAGTATCAGCTCTCGTTACACCTCAAAACTCACACAGCATCCCCCCTTCTTTCCTGACACTTGGCCATTAGGACAAGGTCTCCTTATTCAAAGCACAGTTGGACTCCTGAGTGACTACAACAGCTACAGCCCTGAATCAGAACACAGACTGATTCACGGATGAGAACCTGCAAGGATTCAGTTTGTTCTGCTGACCAATCAAAGGAGTTTTCCTAACTCAACAATAAGATGCCCAAGGTCCCTTTTCTGCAACTTGAACTGCTAGAAATGGGATCAGCAAGGCCTGCAAAGGCCCTTTCCACTTCACCTGGAGGGGTTGGGAGTCCCACCACTTGACAGGGACCCAAGGGCTGGGCAGGAACGGACGGGCTGGGGCGTCCAATCCATCGGCCGAGGCGTCACTGTCAATTGCTGGAGTTCCTGCAGGGCACATCCTAAAGCCAGCAAAGAATGATGAGGATCGCTTTTTGCTTTCATGGGAATATCTCCTGCAATATGGGGAGCTTGATAAGGCCCCCTGGTACAACAAGGACAGACTTATGGCCATCTATTCAAACTACCTCAAATCTCCCTGCACACCTTGTCCTTTGTTTTCCCTCCCAAACAAAGGGGCTTCAAACAGTTCAGAGAGATGTGGCAGAGCCAGAGCTCTCCTCAGGGAATGCCTGAGCTGCCTAAAGGCTGCCCTTGCACCAGCTAGCCAAGGCAGCAAACTCTTACAGGGGGTTTCCAAAGTTTGCATCAGCCTTACCACACATCCCTAGGGAGCAATGCAGAGTCCTCACCATCCT